AAAAAAAATCGATATCAGACACTTATTTCTGGACGGAGGGAGTAATATGAATAAAGCTAAAATAAATTTGGATTAATTTCGTAGACTCCGACTTCAACAATTCAAGGACGAAGATCTGTTGTGAATTCTTTAAATTTAAACCCACCTGTACCTGATCCGATGATTGTTCATCCAGGGGTGGTAACAGCTATGTTACAACTCTTACCTTGTATACAAGTAACTATATTTAAAAAAATTTAATATAATTTGCTTTAATATCGTGTTTATTCTCCAGGATAATAATCTAGAAAAACAACTAAGCCTTCAATTTTACATCTCCGAAGTGATAAAATCATTAGTTCGTAGTGAACGTAATCAACAAGTAATGTGCGATAGCAAATTTGTTGGACAACTTTTACTAATTGGATCGAAACCCCTTCAAACGGAAACACACCTTTTACATTCACCCCTACAATACATGTTGGAACGTTTAGCAGCTCAAGCTTTAGAACCGACTGATTTAAGAAATTTCCTCCGACTTGGAAATCCTTTATGTTGCGTTCCTTTACAATCGAAAGATCCAGGTGGTGGACCTGTACCATTAACCCGAATCAAAACTTTAGTTTCAATGACAACCCCAAAAGATTTTCGGGCACAAGCGTCATGTACTTTGCCTCCCTTTGTTGAATTCGATATGTCAGCGGAAGGTTTTGGGTGTTTGTACCTTCCAAGTATCGCCCCACAAAGCTTGGGAGCCCCCAGTGTGGTTTCAACAGTTGATAGTAATATTTTGGGAGGAATTGGAGCTGGAGATAGACTTTTCCCCCCACAAACTGGATTGAGCTTTTCCACGTGGATTTGTGTGGATAAATTTTCCGATCCAAGAACAGATCCTCATTGTGTTCGGTTATTAACGTTGGTGAGAAATTTTAATTTATCAAAGGACCAACATTTGGTGTGTTTATCGATTGTTTTATCTGCAAGAGACAAAGCTATTATTGTGTCAACTCAAGAAACTCATATTCCAGATCGTAATAAATATTAAAACAAATTTTTTTATTAAATTTATATAAAATAATTTTTAGATGTTGGTGAATGGGAACCGGAAGGTTCTGGGGAGCATGGAGCTAGAGTTTGGTGTCCTGATATCCTTCAGGAAGGTCAATGGCACCATTTAGTGATTGTTTTAAATCGAGCAGTATTAAAAAATTCATCGTTTTCACTTTATCTTGATGGCCAACATATGCATACTCAAAAGTTACATTATATCTCACAAAATCCAGGGGGGATATCTACAAATATGACTTCAGCCTCATCTGTTTATGGGTTTATTGGAACTCCGCCGGCTTGGAGAAGATATTCAAAACTTTGTTGGAAACAAGGACCTTGTCATTTAATTGAAGAAGTAAATTAAATCTCACCAAGCAATATTGTTGTTACAATTTTTTGTTTATAGGTGTTACAACCGGTTACTGTGGGTTACATTTATCAATTAGGTCCTCAATATATGGGATCTCTTCAAGCACCGAATGTAAGTGTAGAAGTGAATCAATTGGTTGCTGAAGAAAAAGTTGTCTTTGGTTTAAACGTAAAGGCGATGTCTCAATTAACATTGAGTAAAATACGTAAAGTTTACAGTAGAACAGATAATAAATCGATCGCTAAACAATTGGGAATGTCAAGTCATGAGAATGCAACTCCGATTCGGATTTTACACAATTCAGCTGGACATCTTTCAGGACCTTCGCGATCTTTGGGTGGTGTTGTTATCGGTTATCTTGGTGTGAGGGTGTTTTGTCCAAGACCGGTTGCTTTAGTGGTAAGTTTTTAATAATACTTTAAATGATTTAATTTTATTTTGATTAAAAACTTTTTAGATTGATACAGTTGGTGGTTGCGCAGTTCTCCTTGGACTAATAGCAATGGCCCAAGACGTCGAAAGTTTATATGCAGGTGTAAAAGCTTTAGTTTGCGTCGTAAGAAGTAACAAAGCAGCTCAAGTTGAAATGGATCGCAAAAGAGGTTACCAAACCCTTGCGATGCTCCTCCGCAAAAAACGAACTCTCCTCAACTCGCATATCTTACATTTGGCGTTCAGTTTAGTAGGAACAGTCGATAGCGGAAGGGAAACATCCGCAATACCAAATTTAACCGCATTTCAAGACTTATTATGTGATTTAGATGTTTGGCACGAAGCGCCTGGAGAATTACTTCGATCCCATTTAGAACATTTGTATGAATTAGCCGCCGAATCAAACGAAAAAAGAAATAATACTTGGATAATGAGAGATTTGCAATTAGTCACGAAATTATTACATATAACACCGGAAATTAAACACGGAGCGACTCGACAAGTTTTATTTTCGTTGTTATCTATTTTATTGGGGGGGCAACCAAGACAGTCGGATTTATTATGGTTTGGCCAATTTATTGCGGCGAAATTACCACCGACTACGATTCCGAGTGAAAAAAATATTGTATTGCGCGAAGGCGATTTAGAAAAAGAAGCTGAAGGGGAGCACATATTATTAAGAAATCGCTGTTTATCATTAATGCACAATTTGCTTTTTACAAATCGAAACGTCGTAAATGTAATGATTTGTGATGAAATCGCGAGAACTTTAGGTTTTGATTGGGTTTTATTGTTTCTTCAACCGCATTTACATTCAACTACTGTTGTTATTGGAATGAGAATTTTAATTGTTATGTGTTCAAATTCAACGTTAATGACACGGTAAGTAATTTTACACTGTTAGAAATAATTCACGAGCACACCCTGTATTATCTAAACGTGTGAAGATAAATCCATAGTATTTGCGGAATATCGAGTTTTTCTGTCGCGGTATTGTTTCGAGCGGTCGTTATCGGCAGTGCAACGGGCATGACGAGAATGGTCTTAGCTAGGACATACGCGCCTTCAGCATGCGGGGATCCCCCAAATCGCCCTTGTGCTCAGCGCTTTAGCGTGGCGTCCGTCCTCCTCAAAGCAACAAGTGGATTGCGCGCGCGTTGTGCGATACAGCGGATTCCACCAACACCCGAGCACCGCCGCATACGTCACGAGTGGGTCGACGCTAGACATTGGTGGGTTGCCGAGTGGAGGGACATTTTGTTTTCCGACGAATCAAAGATTCGAATTGAGCACCGGTGACGTCCGAATTTTGGTTTGTCGAAGACGTGGTGAGCGTCTACTCGAGCACTTCGTGCAAGAACGCTCTTCCGCCGCTTCCTTACGGCCCGTTGTGCTTCCCTACGTTCGGCGGGGCTCACGTCTTCTATTCATGCACAATAACGCCCGACCGCACATCGTGCGTGTTGTACAGACCTTTGTGGAAGTGCACCGTATACGAATGTTTCCTTGGCCAGCTCTTTCTTTGGATCTAAATCTGATCGAACATATTTGGGACACCATTGATCGGAGACTCCAACGTTAGCTGGATAACGTTGAGAAGCTATGGAGACGAGTTGAGGCGACACGTTAGTAAAATCGTTACATAAGCTTTTTTTAATATAATAAACTGAAGGGGGGAATATCTTTTTCTATTAAATAAAGTGATATCTTTAGGAATTTTTGGCTGCCAAACTATGAGCTCTTTCACTTTAATCTTTTGCCTAAGTTTAGAAGATATATTTATTTATTTAAAAACACATTTGTTTATAAGAAATAACGTCTGCCATGTCCTTCAACAACGTTGCCATGTGAAGTGTCTAAATCGTTGGTTGACACGATATCCACCCTTGAGACGATTTGATACAGAAAAATCAAATGGTGTTCTCTTCTATATACATGTGATTATCCTCTGGACTAGAATTAAGCAAAAAAAAATTATTGATAAAATGGCGCTTAGTTAAGTTAAAATAACCGATTTTGCTCTTAAAATCGGTAAGTTTATTGCAAAAAAAGCATATGTATATAAGAAATCAGTTTCTCTGTAGGTCAAACGATAGAAAGATGCTTTCTGAATGTACAGTTAAAATTTCAAGTCAATCGATTGAGTAGATTAGTAGTATTTAGAGTATTTAGAAATCATGTCAACCAGTTGTAAAAAGTACGTTTCGAGAAAAACGCATTTAAAGTTTTAAGTACAATTTGTGAATTTATATTCAATACTTACGGCTAATCTGCTATACCAAGGCCGTACACTATTCCTTCTTCTTGCTCGTTGAAATATTCTTTCTCCTGTTGATGCAATCTTTGTTGAGTACGAGCTTCTTTTGTCTCTTGAAGACTGCGACAAGCCGATTGCTCCAAACGCTTTTCATCCCGAGAGTTGGCATAAATTTTAGTCTGCTCACCAATTTCAATTCCCATTGTTCCCATTATTTTTAAAATAGCGAAACAGCCTTCATTAAAAATGCTGGTTGCTATACATATAACCGGATATTTCAACTGTTTTTAAGCCACAGTGTAGATGTTTGGGGGCTAAACGCCAAACAGTAGAATGGCAGCTTTCATTATTATTTTGAGTTTCACCACCCAAACATCTTTCTAACAATTCCTTTGATGACAAGTCTTCATATATTGGCATTATAACGGTTGCAAGATCTAGATGAAGTGTCGGTTCGTGGTCGAATTCATCCAGTTTTCTCTTGGCTTCTGCTTTACGCCATTTACACCAACTTTCTGGTCCGATTGGGCAGTATATATGCTGCGGATTTTCGTTTGACGATAATTTGTGGTAGTAGGTTGCCCATACATAGGATTCGGAATACCGACCGAAAATTGAATACTGGTATTTCGGTATACTTTCAATGTGATACCGGTATTAACCCTAGAAAGATAACCTACGTCGAATCGACGTGGTCGATTGGTTATCTTTAACGTACTATAAAATATGGTTATCTTTCTAGGGTTAATACCGGTATTGGAAAAAAATATGAAGAAGCTAAAAATGGAGAGGTAAAATAGTGAAGTAAACGAAATTTTATAATAAATTTATTATAAAAATGTAAAATAAATAAATAATTATTCATATAGGTATATATCAATAAGTCGTAGTGCAAATGCTTAATTCAAAATACTTATTTGTAATACGACTTATTAAAACGTGCTCTTAAAATACATAGGTTTTCTAATGTATTATCATTAAGTTTACAACGGATTGTTGTACAAAAACTTTGGACTGATGAGAAAACCCTTTCTGTTGAGTATTCCACGCTTGTTGGAGGAATGGTGATTAAGTAGTCATAAATTTTTTGAAGATGACTGCCTCATTTCCTTGTTTTCCAATGCTTCTAAAGTGAGACTTTTGGAAATTAGTGGAGCAGATTATAATTTTTCTTTAATAGCCATATTTAATTTGTTTGTTAATAACTTGTTCACTTGATGTACTAGCTAAATATTTTTGTTCATGTGATGTACTCGGTAGGTTTTCTTTGTTTTCGTCCGTTAGTCTATTTAATAAACTTAGAATTTTTTGTCTTACTCTTTTGTATTTGTTAAAGGTTTATAACTACTACAATTTAAATAATTTGAAATTAAAACTTCATAGAGTGTCCAGACCCTAAACTACAAGACTTTGCTATAAAAAAAAATCAAACTTTTTGAAAATAAAACATTCCCCCTTTAAATAAAACTAGAATTTACCACAAAACGGGATATTTATTAAAAAATTATATGATGCCACACTAAAACATTATTCTGATTCCTCACACGAACTCTCCTCATTTGGTTCTTCGTCTTCATGGACTTGTAATATGAGGGTCAGAGCTAAATAGTAGTCTATGTATAACATTTCTATTAGACGCGTCTCGGGAAAATTTTCTAGCGAAATCTTGCCCGTATGTACAAAAGTGTTTGTTTCTGGCTTCAGCAGTCTCTTCTGATAGTTGCCCCATCAGCAACAAGGCATGTGAAATAATTTCAGCACCATGCATTAAAATTTTGTGCATGTTTGGCGTCATCGGATGCCAGCTATATAAAATAATATGCAACTGAGCTGTTTCGTATGCATATGTTTCAAATTTAGCAGCATCAATCTCATGTCCACTTGATATTGCTTCCAATATAATCTTCAACTTGTAAATTAAGGTTTCGTCAACTCCAGTAATTTCGCCTATCGATTTAGGGTCTTGGAAAAATCTTCTAGTCGAATTTCTGTCATTAATTGAATTCGGTTTTTTGTCTCGGCTATAGTCTTTTTCTGTTCTCCAGATCTTGCTTGCCAATTTTTTAATTGGTAGCTTGTATGACAAGTGAACCGTATTTTTGCATAAAGAACGTATATTCCCAATGATAGTGATTCTGGGTTCACATCTTTCCTCTTTGATATGCCCCTTTTTGAAGTTAACCCACGCAAGTAGCACCGCATTGTAGATGCTGTGTTAGTTGCGGCATTGCATATTTTCCCATCAACCATAGTAAATAATAGTTTGTGTTCAATTTCAAGTCCTCTTTTCAAAGGTACTCTACTTTTTTGTAACTCTTTTACTTGATGTTCTACATATATTATATGATTTCATCTTTGGCAACATGCTTCGTTTCAGGAATAAACCTGATTCTTATGAATGAAAAGTATATATAAAATAATGTTAATATGATGCAATTATATTTTATATTTTATTAAGGCTTCGGTGCTACATAAATGTTTCGACTACCAATGGAGCCGTCTTCAGGCACGACCGGACAAATTAACTTGAATAAGTATATTAAATAATAACATTTCATTCTTCAGACGCACGACTAAACTCGAAACTTTCTAGTTCTAAGTCTAGTGTTAGGTCTAGTTTTAATTGTTGTACAGTGCTAGACCAAGAAGCGGCCGGCAACATCTCGAATTTTCCTAGTGTAATTTTTGCTTAAAACTGACCAATAGCAACCCTTTTTTTTGGCGCTTCAATTTTAAAACACTCCTCCGAATTAAAAAATAGAGTATAATAAATTTGAGTTTTGGCCAACTTATTCTACTCTGGCTATTGATGCATCTGCTCTCCATATGAGGGTAAGTTACACTACTTTACTTTATTATTATACAGGGTGTGTTCGTGAATTATTTCCAACAGTGTACTTATTTCTATAACAAAATTAATTTAATTAAAACTAATTTTTGCAGTTTCCGTGAAGGCTCTTGTAATGGAGGTTGGTTAAGACACACCGAACAAGTGACCCACAATAAAATGGCCGTAGTTTTGGGTTGTCCTGTAAATCCAACGACTGGAGCTGACTTTAAACTCGATGGTTGGCATATACCGGGTTTTCAACATCTTTCTTGGCTGTTACCCTCGCATTTAGAAGTTTCTGAGTTATACTTTTTATTGACAGCTTTAATGACTGGGCAACCAGTTAAATTATTACCGGCTGAGACAAAATTCGATTTGGACACAGTTTGGGCATTTCTATGGGGCGCTTCCGTAAATAGCCAACCGGTTAGTAGCGTAACACCAAGGATTAATTTTTGCTCGGAAGCGGTGGTGGTTTTATTAGCTATGGCGAGATCGATGATTCATTGCGATCAAAACTTATTACCGGATTGGTTGAGGAATCATGCAATCTCCATAATACAAGTTTTATTCCAATTATACCATAATTTACCCGAATTTATGCCAATTTTCATGTCGGGGGAGGTCCTGGGTGCTTTAGCAAGTGCTTTATTCCCACCAACATCGAATTTAAACGACAGCGGCGATAGTAGTGGAGCTTCAACTCCAGCTGAAGAATCCGAAAATATAATAGTGGTTCCACGATCACCTTTAGAAGATAATCCTTTAACAACCCACCCAGCGAGGCAATTCATAATCGATTTTATCCGCGTCATCGTAGTCGACTCATTAAGCTTATCAGTAACTGCAAAATCATCTCCTGTAATCGACTTAGTTCTTGATGCTTACCCAGAAAATTCAACAACCCATCAACAAACTTGTTATCAAACTGAAATTTTATGCACTTTAATGGATCACCTTTTAGCCGCCGATATGTTGGTTGGCGATCAAGCTGCGATTCCGATTGTTCCATTAGCAAACGCGCATGTTCAACATGTTGCGCCTAATGTGTTTTATTTAACAGCAAGGATAGTAGATAAATTATGGCAAGGTTCATTATCGAAAGATCCTCACGACGTTTTTGATTTTATCATTAAATTAATCGGTCAAGCAAAAAGAAGAAGCGGAAATTTTTCATTAGAATGTTTATACCATTGCTTAAATCGCAGCATTTTATTTTTATTATCAAGACCAACCGATTCAATCGCCGATCAAATGAGCGTTTTAGAAGCTCTACATAAATTAACCACAAATCGTTTGATTGTTTTTGGCGCAGGAAATCACGAATTAGATTTCATCGGATGTTTAACTTATTGCCTCCTCCAATTAAAAGCCGATATGAAGATAATGTTGGACTCAAACATGCGTACAATGTGGCATGTTAACCCGGCGAGCGATTTAGAATCCCGCGATGAGCAATTAAACCAACACCAAGGTCGAAATTTAATGGCTGGAGCCGCTTTAAGAGTTTGGGAAGAGTTATATGTATGTAAAAAACCTGCAATTGAAGAAGTTTTTAAGGTTACCTTAGTCCCCCCGATGATGAACGCAAAAGCACCCGATTTAATCGCCGTTCGCGAACAAGTCTATGAAAACGCCGCGAAACTTTGGGCTACTTACATTGATAACGAAAAAAAAGCAACTTACCGAGTCCCTTGGGAACTACACAATCAAATTCAATCCAAAATTCATAAAGTTACAGGCGGATTAACGCGATTAGCAAGTCGGACGAAATCGAGAAAAGATGAAACATTAAAAGTTCGTGTTAGAATGAATAAGCGCCAAGCTTTTCAATGGATTTTAACCCACATCGCCAACGTTCGTGAATTAGTTGAAATGAAACGAAATCAACACATTAATATGGCAACTCATACTCAACGTTACGTTCATCAAGAATGGTTACAAACGAAAATTGAGTTAACCCGTGAACGGGGTCTTTGGGGACCAACAAAACCATGCCATTTAGATAAATGGATGTTGGATATGACTGAAGGCCCACATCGGATGCGGAAAAAAACGATGAAGAATGAATTATTTTATTTGCATTACCCATATCGACCGGAGATTGAAAAAGGAATTTTGAAATATAAAGTCGCTATAAGTCATCATAGTAAAGAGTATTACCAAGCGATGCAATTGAGACGTTGTAATAATGGCGAAATAGAATTAGATCGTATTGATAGTATCTCAGAAGAAAGTAGCCCAATGCCTTTAGTACCTTTACCAGCTTTATCAAGATTAAAATCAGATCCTGATGATCAACAAGATGAAAATGAATCGGAAGAAGAACCCCAACCACCCCCAGATAATCAAACGTTATTAAGATTATTAGAAGAAAACGAAAAAATCACTTACATGTTTCGTTGTGCTCGAATTCAAGGTTTAGACACAACGGAGGGGTTATTACTTTTTGGACAAGAACATTGTTATGTAGTCGATGGATTCACTTTATTAAAAAATCGAGAAATTCGCGATATCGACGCAGTTCCTACTCAAGGTTACGAACCAATTTTACCAAACCCTGGTTCTCCGAGGCGATCCCGTACAATGAGACAATGTTCGAAATTTTCATACGAAGAAATCAGGGAAGTACATAAAAGAAGATATCTTCTCCAACCGATGGCTTTGGAAGTTTTCTCTGGGGATGGTCGAAATTATTTATTAGCGTTCCCGAGAAAAGTCCGAAATAAAGTATATCAAAGATTTATGGCGACAGCGACTGGTATAGCAGACAGCGCTCAACAATCAGTTGCGGGACAAAAACGAACCGCTAATGTTGAACAAGCAACTAGTTTATTGAGTAATTTAATCGGGGAAACTTCCGTAACACAACGTTGGGTTCGAGGAGAAATCTCAAATTTTCAATATTTGATGTATTTAAACACATTGGCCGGAAGATCTTATAACGATTTAATGCAATACCCCGTTTTTCCATGGATTTTAGCCGACTACGATAGCGAAGAATTAGATTTTAATGACCCCTTAACATTTCGCGACTTTACAAAACCAATGGGAGCTCAAAGCTCAGAGCGTTTAGATCAATTTAAAAAGCGTTTCAAAGAATGGGATGATCCTCACGGGGAAACACCACCGTATCATTACGGAACTCATTATTCAAGCGCCATGATTGTTTGTTCTTATTTAGTCCGTTTAGAACCCTTCACTCAACACTTTTTGCGATTACAAGGGGGACATTTTGATTTAGCCGATCGCATGTTTCATTCGGTGAAAGAAGCTTGGGCTTCCGCATCAAAACATAATATGGCGGATGTTAAAGAATTAATTCCCGAATTTTTTTATTTACCCGAATTTTTATTGAACGGGAACGAATTTGATTTGGGTTCGAAACAAAGTGGAGTGTTTTTGGGTGATGTCGTGTTACCACCTTGGGCGAAACAAGATCCGAGGGAGTTTATTAGAGCGCATCGGAATGCGCTTGAGTGTGATTTTGTATCTCAAAATTTACATCATTGGATTGATTTGGTTTTTGGGTACAAACAACAAGGACAACCGGCTGTTGAAGCTACTAATGTTTTTCATCATTTGTTTTACGAGGGAAATGTGGATATTTATAAGTAAGTTTTTTTTTTCTGTGACGGGAAAAACGTTTGAGACATTTTATCTCTATTGACGGGTAACAAAATGTCACTTTTTATGAAATTACTTACAAATAGATAGAATTACTTTTTCCTTTTTCGACCAATTTCAGCGAATACTTTGAAACTTTAAGAATGTATTTGTCTATTATCGAACTATGTACAATAATTTTTTCATAGAAAAATAGTAACATTTTAGCCACTTATGCGCTAGGTCCCGAAACTCATAAAAAAAAGTCCTCCACTGCTGCAGCGATAACAGTCGATTCAACACCTAAAATGGAAAAAACAAATATCGATTTTACACTAGACGGAGTCTCTAAAATCATAAATATCGTAGATCATGGTACAATAAAACATGTTTATAATACTCTGTTAAAATTCCAAGTCAATCGGATAATTTGTCTTGGAACGGATAATTTGTCTGGAAAACCGCGTTTAAAGTTTTAACTATCGTTAAAACAATATTTCCCATAAGAAATGTCAGTCCGCTATTCCTGGCCCATATAATGAACCCTCCTCTGTTTCAAAAAATGCCTGCTGAGCCGCTAAAGCTTTTTTTCGAGCAGTCCTACCCTCCTTTGATGCCGCTTGGTGACGTAAAGTAGCTTGATAAACTCTGACATCATCTCTATCGTTCGCATATTCGTTTTTAATTGGACCAATAGTGATTTCCAATAGATTAAAAACAGCTAGAAAATTGGCAAGTTCGATACTTTTGAAGCCATTGTGGAGGTGCTTTGGAGTAAAGTGCCAGAGCAAATCAATTTAACTTTCATTATTATTTTGACTGTTCCCACCTTTACATCTCTCTAGTAACTTTCTTCTACTTAAACCTGTATAAATTGGTTCTAAAGTTTCTGCCACTTGCGCAACTAGCAGAAGGTACTCATGTTTGAAATTTGTCATGTTGATTTGTTGAGATAAATGATAAAATATAGCCCAAATTGCCTTAAGGCCACTTTACAGTTCGTAAGTTTCATTGCCTGCAAGAAATATTGCGGTAATTTATCTTGCACGCAAATCACGTATCCTTGCACTTGCGCTTAAAGTATGGTGAGTTTTTTAGTTACTTTTTGTGTTGCCAACTGTAAAATATAACGACATAACGTATTTTGTTGGTTTGTTTGTGTACAGGTGCCCCAACCTTTCAAAAAATATTTGTTGCCAGCATTGATTGCAATTAAAATATTGCAGTTAAAAGGTGCCAAATGTAAAGCCAATCGCGCTAGATACTGCCGCAATAACTTCGTGCAAAATACTTTGCATGCAAGAAAAATTGCTTACATATTATTTTGATTTACCAGACATCAAAATAATAATTGCTAATCCTTAATACTTTTAGAGTTTATTGATTACTTTTTCGGTTAGTTTCATTGTATTTTTACTTTTTCCTCCTAAGCCCTTACTTTGCTTTTTGAGGTTTCGACATCGCGTTCTCATTCTTTTTTTACATGTAAATAACACTCTAATTTTTCTACTTCGACGACATATGGGTTTAGATATTATTCCTTTGTATGTAGCAGTATCACCATCACCAACACAACTGCTATACTTTACACCATATTCATCAATCGAGCGACTAAACATATCCTTTACACTATCAACCTCCATTTTCGCAGCGAATCCTTCATGATTTGCATCACAATCATGTACAGGGTGTCCAAATTTCCATGGGTTTGCAGGGTATCTCAGTTATTATGAAAGATAGAAAGTTACGGCTTTCGCGAACCTGAGCTACTTTTTTGTGAAACTTACAATGGCGCAAACCAAATTTTCATAGTCCTCTTCGTTTTTGATATACAGGGAGTGTTTGAAATTTACGAATTTCAGACACCTCCTGTATCTCGGCTATCCGGAAACTTAGTAAAAAAGTAAAAACGGGTTCTAATAGATTTTTTCACGTGGAATCCAATGGTGCACGTAGAATTTTTCTAATCATCACGGTTTTTGAGTTATAAACACAACTGAAATACTGAATACTCAACTTCTGAAATACTTAACTCTTTATAACTCAAAAACCTTGATGACTAGAAAAATTCTACGTGCGCCATTGTATTCTACGTGAAAAAATCTATTAGAACCCATTTTTACGTTTCCGGATAGCCGACATACAGGGGTGTCTGAAAATCGTAAATTTTGAAACACTCCCTGTATATCAAAAACGAAGAGGGCTATGAAAATTTGGTTTGCGCCATTGTAAGTTTCACAAAAAAGTAGCTCAGGTTCGCGAAACCGCAACTTTCTATCTTTCATAATAACTGAGATACCCTGCAAACCCATCGAAATTTGGACACCCTGTACATTGTTGATATTCTTCAGGATGTGTAAGTTTTTTCTTTTCCCATATTTCACAACTTTACAGTAAATTAATTTTACAATGAATTGATATTTTTTTTGCAAAATTTCCCTGTAAGAGTTGTAACTCCGAAACGAGAAGTATGACTGCGTTTTTTCCATGTTCCAAAAAACTCCAGAAACTGTCAAATTTACATCTGAACCTTCTTTTTTTAACATCTTAGCCTTCTCTTCGTCCACGGCGATTTTTACGCTTTGTTTATAAACTGTTTCAGCTGCTTTGGTAACGTTTTCGAAGTTTCGTTTTCGATCATCCATCGAAGGTATTGTTATTAAATTTTCTAAGAAGATCCATCGACTTGCTTCATTAAATGTTATGTCCTTTTTGCAATTTTTACATATGACTAAATTGCTAATAGTTGTGAAAACTGAATAATACGATACCCATGACTGTTACTTGTTAATAAGCGTTTTATTGTTTATAATTTTCCAATTTATCGTTTATAATATTTCTCCGGTACAATATATGTATACACCCAAACCCTGTACCCTCCTCCCTTAGTTCACTACTCCCTCAGCATCTTCCAATCCTTTCCACACAGCCTACACCACCTCTCCACATCATCCGCCCAGTACCTGGTCCCTCTCTCCTCATTGCCACAGCGGATTCTGGCCATCAATCTCTTCCCTTCATCATCTCCCTCCATCAACAGATACTTTGGCAGTTTGTCTGTCATTGTCTCCCCATACCTTTCATTATATCTCCCTTCCGGTATCTGTGACCTTCTTTTCTGTCTCTGTATGTCCCTGTCCCTATCTCTCAGTTTTCTCCACATTTCACCTCTCTCCACACTTCTGCTGTCGATCCCCGTTAGTGAATATGCCACTCTTCTATAATATCCCTCCCTATCTCTCTGCCCATATATCAGCCTCCTCTCCTTAATTTCCCTCCAGCACTCTTCCAGGAGCATGCAATGCGGTCTTTCTGCTATCATTTCCTCTTACTTAACTGCTCTTCTCCCAACCTCCACCATACCCAGGAGTCTGCCTTACCAACCCCAACACCCATCTCCAATACCTTGTTTGCAGAATTTACTATCTCTCCAGAGACCTCATCATCTCCACCGCCTCTCTAGCCACCTTTGTTTCTGCTATTACCACCCCATCCATTCCTATCTGCAGGGTGTTTCAATATATATACATAGTCAATTGCCCCTCTTCCCTTCCAGAATCCCGCCTGCCCATCCGGCAACAACTCCCTCCTCTCCATTTCTTATTCCAACCTCCCCAGCAGTACCTTTGTATAAATTTTGAAAGTTATGTCCAAGAGGGTGATCCCTCTATAATTGCTCAACACCCTTTTACTCCTCTTTTTATACAGTGGGTGTATTATCCCCATCCTCCACCTGTCCGGAAACCCCTCCCCTCTCCATACTTCGTCTAGTACCTTCCACAGCTGTTTCTTCACTGTCTCCGTCGCCTCCAACCAAGTCTCATTCTGGATTTCATCCTCTCCTGTCGCCCTTCTTCTATTCAGTCCCCTCAACACTGCTTCCACTTCTTCCAGTGTTATCTCCATTCCCTCTTGTACCCCTCGCTCTCCCTCTCACATTCTTCTCTCTTCCACCCCTTTGACTGTTATTAATTATTATTTCGTCATTGTCGGTACGCAATAATTTTTCTGCGGCAGTACTGAGATCAGTGTTGGGCTTCTCTTGTGTGTATCGATTTCCCGAGAATCTCTTCTTCCTACTTGTTGATCTACGAATAGGATTATAGTAAGTTCCTTTTTGCTTTAGATACGAATTTTCACTCATTTTTGATTTTTACAACTTCTTATTGCACGGTACAGTCCAATACTTCTGAGAAGACACTTCCTATCTAATAATAGCAAATAATAGACGGACTGTACAATATGTGTGTTTGACTTGCTAGAGGTTGGTAGTGAGAAGGCTACTATTATAAAAGTATTTGGAGTCCGACTTTGAAATATTAATATTATGTTCTTGAAAGTATTTTTTGAAAATTTCACACTGGTGTAACCCCTTAACTGTGGATTGCATGAATGACATGTTCCATTTTTTTCTGCCATGGACACAACTGCCGTTGATGTACTTGGTTGCAAGTCGATTGTTATTTCAGCACTGCCACACGTTCTAAACACTTTATTAGCTATTTCTGCGCTGTGTGCTACCGATTCATTAACGTACCCTTCATCGACCGTTGATACTTCCAACCGTCATGTTTTTTTAGTGTCATCAAGTCTCCCCCAGATTCAACTAAAAGTGTAGCAGACGATCTTCAAAATGAATGAGCTGTATATGAGTTAGCATTTTCAAGTTGAAGAAAATTAGCTACTGTATGAGGTACCTTATGATATACTATTGATTAGTAGGTCGTGTCAGAACTGTGGAATAATGGCTTCATTATTCAACACTTGCCAGTCATGCGAGTAATGCGTGTCATTACCCCTCAAAAATCAAATGTATAACGAATAGATAATTCAATAGTTGTAGGTAGATAAAACTTTTTACCCACAACCTAATTGATACATTTTCCATTGCGATATGCATAAAACAGGCGGCAATTCTTTGCAGCTGCTAGACGAAGGGCTATGTACATTCGGTAAAATTTAATATATTCTTCAGTAAATACAAATCTCCTGTTTACATCATTCTCTCTTTGCTTAAGTTTCATAATTAATAAGATTCTCGAATCTTCAATATCATCTAATGTTACCTGGTTGAGAAAATTCAAATTTCACATTGATAATTTTCTGACTTGATATTAAATCGTCGTTTTTTCCGTCACAGGAAAAAATAGTGTATTATACACGGGAAAAATATTAGAGTTTATCTTTTTTCCCTTGCATAATAAATAACTATTATTATGTGATATTTTTATCAACATTTTATTTTTTTAGTATCGATGATCCCTTAAAGAAAAATGCGACAATCGGTTTTATAAACAACTTCGGCCAAATTCCTAAACAACTTTTCAAGAAACCTCATCCCTCTAAGAAAATGGGTCATAATAATCGAACATCCGTAATGGATACTGGGTCATTAGTCCAAGCGTTCTCTTTACCCCAACCGGAACGTTTATTTTTCCATCATTTAGATAATTTAAGACCATCTCTACAACCTATAAAAGAAGTTAAAATTTCTGTTGGACAAATTCTTCATCACGATAAAGCAGTTCTTGCCGTTGACCAAAATAAAGTGCTTATCCCACCTAGTTATAACAAATACGTCGCTTGGGGTTTTGCCGATCATTCTCTTAGAATCGGAAATTATGATAGTGACAAAGCAACGTTTGTTTGTGAAACTGTTGTTCAAAATTCTGGGGAAATTGTTGCTTGTGTTTGCCCCTCGGCGAAGTTAATCGTTACTGCGGGAACTAGTTCTGTGGTAACTATATGGGAATATGAGCAACGTAAAAAGCAATTACATATTAAACATTCTTTATACGCACATACTGAAGCTGTGACGTGTTTAGCTGCGAGTACCGCTTATAACGTAATCGTTTCCGGTTCAAGAGACTCCACAGCGATTATTTGGGACTTATCCCGTGGTGTTTTTGTACGCCAACTTAGAGGACATGCCGGGCCGGTTGCTGCTGTTGCAGTAAATGATTTAACTGGAGATATTGCAACGTGCGCAGCAACTTGGTTACATTTATGGAGCATAAACGGCGATGAGTTGGCGAATGTTAACACTTGTGTTGGCCGCGCCGACCGGATGCAACAAATTCTTTGCGTTGCGTTCTCGCAAACTCACGAATGGGATGCTAGCAATGTCATAATGACGGGGTCAACGGATGGTGTTACGAGAATGTGGTCGATCGAATATGTTCAAGTACCGGAAGAGAAAGAAAGAGATCAACAAAAAGATGATAAAGAAAAAGAGAAACCATCGGAACCTGCAAGACCTCTCTCAATTCATAATCGATTAGTTAAACAAGTTAATGTTTCAAATGATAGCTCCGGAAGTTTGATTAAATCTGGTTCTGAAAGTAGTTTATCAGAGGAGTGTACTTCGGGTAGGAGAGGTTCCGTTGAGAGGCAACGATCGAATGAGAGTAGTTCAAAGGAATGGAGAAGCGAGCAACAAGATGAAAAAGAGACTTGTAGCGATACGGAGGATCTCCCGCCGGTGGTTGCAGTACGAAGGCGGAGATCGAAGGTTCATGGCGGTTTCCGAAAAAGCGAAGGTGGAAATAGTGCTGATAATGAAAGTTTGGATGTTGATGATGCGGCGGGGATGAGAACTAGTAAAAGTGATACTAGTTTAACGGATTCGTTTGTTATTGTACCTGATACAAGAAAACGGGCGGTTAATCCACAAAATTTATTGAGACCAGGTAAGAATTGTTACAATAAATAAAATACATTTTAATTTTTTGTTAAAATAGGTTTCAAATGGCAAAGACAACTAGTATTCAAAAGCAAATTAACCATGCACACCGCATACGATCGGAAAGATAACACAGAACCTGCTTCAATTACATCTTTAGCGGTTTCACGGTAAATAATTTATTAATAAATATACAGGGTGTCTCACGTAACTGGTTCGTTAGAACTTTTTTAGGTTCCACTATTTGTACAGTTTTGAAATTTTGGTAGCATGGGTTGTTCATTCGGAACTTTCGATCATTCCGGTAGTACACCATAACTTCGTTGTTTTAAACGGAATGCTATAGTTTTTATTACACCTTTTAATTCTAAATTGGCACGATTACTCTAGATGCTATCAAATATTTTGTCATTTGTTGTATCAGAGTATCTTATACAGCATGGTCAAAAATTGAATTACCGTTTTTTCATATTCAACCGCAAGAAAGTTGAAAATTTTAAATGGAACGCCCCATATTTTATTAGCCTACCCGAAAGGGAATTTAATTCTCTACAATTTATCTATAAACTTTCCTATACCTATTTANGGCAAAGACAACTAGTATTCAAAAGCAAATTAACCATGCACACCGCATACGATCGGAAAGATAACACAGAACCTGCTTCAATTACATCTTTAGCGGTTTCACGGTAAATAATTTATTAATAAATATACAGGTGTCTCATGTAACTGGTTCGTTAGAACTTTTTTAGGTTCCACTATTTGTATAGATTTGAAATTTTGGTAACATGGGTTGTTAAATTCGGAGCTTTCAATCTAATAGTATATTAAGTATCCAGAACGGTAAGTACAATTTACCGGTTGACGACAATGTTTGGAGATTGAGCGACGCGTAGCGGAGCGAAGTCTCCAATAGTGTCGGAAACCGGTAAATTACTTACCATTCGTGATGGTTATAACATTTTTTGCACGATCGAAATGAATATACATAAATAATAATTAATTTACAAAAATATATTGACATTTGTAATGATTTATAAAATAAGTAAAAAATTTGAATTAATTCTGTTGCCCTGGTTTTATTTTATTTATTATACTTACTTACCGTTCTAGAACGGTAAGTATAATAAATAAAATTTCAAATAAAAATATAATTTATTTGAAATTAAATGTTCAGGGTGGGCAAATTTGGGTGTTATTACTTATAGGCTATCTCAGAAACTATAAGAGATACGAAAAAAGTAGGTGCCATGTCCCGGTCTCTTTTTTCGAGACTAATCCAATCCCGCAAACACCAAACCTCTATCTTCTTTTGTTTTTAAGTTATAGCCAAAAAGTCAAATTTTCGTGATTTCAAAAAATGCTCATATTTCGTTTATTTTTCAAATTAGAGAAATGGGGTTGATACGTTCTTAAGACACTTTTTTAAGTAGAATATACTGCCGTTGAAACATTTTAAACATACTTGATGACCTTTGAGATACAACACAAAGTTGTGTTTTTTTTAAATACAAACTATAGTTTGATTATGATGTTACTGAAAAGAACATACTTTTAGCTTTCCAATGATACATAGCATATATGGTGTCTTTGCAGAAAATAAGCGTTTTCTTTTGAAATTGGGTGAGATAGAGGAAAATTAGGGATTATAAACTGGGAGCGGACTTTCCATTGAAACACCGTTTCAATGGGGATATGAAGACTTATGTATCATCTTCAAAGCGGACTCTAATATATTCTATATTTAATTTTATCGTTTTATTTAAAGATAATGCGGAACTTCTTAAACGAGAAACTCGTTTCGTAAAATTTATGAATGAAATGACAAGTAAACTCACGTTGCTATAGTAACTAAGTAACATTTAGCGTTTTTCATGCCTACTATAATTAAAAACTTGAATTTTAATCTTTAATATTTTAGAATTGAAAAATAACGCTTATTTTCTGCAGATACATCATGCGTGCGATACATCATTGGAAAGCTAAAAATATGCTCTTTTTAGTAACATCATAATCAACTATAGTTTGTATTTAAAAACATACAACTTTGTTATATCTCAAAAATTATCAGCTATGTTTAAAATTTTTCAACGACAGTATATTCTACTCAAAAAAGTGCCTGTAGAATGTATTGACCCCATTTCTCTAATTTCAAAAATAAACGAAATATGAGCATTTTTTTAAATCGCTAAAATTTGACTTTTCGACTATAACTTAAAAACAAAAGAAGATAGAGATTTGGTCTTTGCGGGATTGGATTAGTCTCGGGAAAAGAGACCGGAACATGGCACCTACTTTTTTTCATATCTCTTATAGTTTCTGAGATAGCCTATAATAACACCCAAATTTGCCCACCCTGTACAGTTATTACAGCTAGAAATAGAAATTGAAATATTGCTTTTTTCGGTATTTGTATCAACAGAAAATGTCCGTGATGTAGAAGCACAAGCTGACGATTGTAGTATATTATCAGAAAGCAAGCTGCAAGGCGATTCATTATCATCATGTAGAATCTTTTCTGCAAATTGATTTTTGTTTTGAAGAGAATCTTCAACATAACTTTCAGCCACAGTCGAAGATTTCCAACCTCCATGTCTTTTTAGTCCTAAAACGTCTACACCTTTATTGGCTAATAATGTGGCTGAAGTACGTCGAAACGAGTGACCAGTGTAATTAACTGCATTTTCCAATTTTAAGTATTCAGCAATTTTCGATGATAAAGCTCCAATAGTACCTTTACCGACTATCTGATTTTTACATTTCCCATTCCGATAATTTAGGAATAAATGCAACGACTTTGCTTTGTTTGGCCGGAGTTTAATATATTTCCGAACAATTTTCAAATAATTAATTTTTTCGTTTTTTTTATTTATGACAGTAAATGTGCGCTGAATATTGGTTTTTGTATTTGGAATGGTTATAATAATAAAAGATTCACGATCTTCTATATCTTTAATAGTCATTTTATATAACTCTTCTCTGTGACATGCTCCCGCTACTCCTAATATCATTGCTACCTAAAAAAATACATTGTCGGAAATATATCCTCGTATTTTTACAAGTAATCTAAATATACCTTATGGATTAAAAACAATTCGTCTGGTGCTTCAATTAAAAATTTAAACATTTCATCCTTAGTAAAAACACTAGCTTTTTTAGGTTTGTACCCAACATTTTTTCTTTTTAGAAAGGCAATTAATGTTGAAAACTTGGATATATCAATGAATTCGTGTAAAAAAATTGTCGCTTTCAACATTGAGTATTCGGCCCATAAACTACCTGCAGCTTTTAATTTTCCGTTTCTTTCGACCAAATATGCCAACAAGGTTTTTTCACTCGTATTTTTATTCTTTACTCCACACCATTTTTTGAAAATTTGGTACGTCATTTCATAACGTTCCCTAGATTTTTCGGGAATTATTGCCGAACGTCCAATATTCCAAGCTTTTTCTATATCATCACCATTTTCACTCTCAGAATCACTCAATTTGGTTATATAGTAATATATATTATAATTTATCTACGACTGCTTGGATAAGTCATCATTACCGCACTCATTTGAGGTGATTTGAGTTACGTAATGAAGTTCATTACCGCACTGATTTCATTACGTAACGCATTTTTAGCCTAATCAGAACAGACTTAATTTATTGAAACGAGCAACAATACAAACGAAAAAGTGCTATCTACTTACAGAGAAACAATACTATTTATTATAAACATTAATTGTTATGTTTTTACATTTCAAAACACTTATTCCAGATGAGTA